CCGATCAAGACAGAAATCGTTTCTGGTGGCCGATGTCGCCATCACAGTGGTTACATTATTCTTCTTGTTCCTTTCCCTATTTTTGTCTTCGTCCATGTTCTCTTCCTCATTCTCGAGTGAATTGGCACACGAAGGCTTCTTCGTCCTCTTCTGATTCGTTCGCGAATGCTTCTTCGTGGCGAATCTCTGGAGAACTTCGCGGAAGAATTGTTAGGACTCCTTGGGAGCCTCTGGTGGCGGCCGTGGCGCCTTTCGGCGACCAGTGGGGAGATCCTCGAGTCACCATACTGGAAGCCGTGGTTCTAGACCACGTGTTGCATTACTGGGGAAGTTGTCTTGAAGACAATTTGGGACCGTGGTGAGGCCGCCCGTGGGCAATTTGGAGGCCGTCTTGGGCCCTCATGGGGCCCTCCTGAGCTGTCAGGAAGACCGTCTGGCTTGTCTTGGAACGGTTTTCGGTGTTTTCTCCGAGCGATATCGGACGCTTGGAAACCTGAATGAGCGAGTATCCGAACTTGTTTGTTATAAAGACCCATTGAACAATCAATGTGTTGGCCAGTTTCGAACGCCTCTTTCAAATGACATTCGGGCCGTGTTCGGGCGTCCCCAGCGGGGGTCTGGGCCGCTTGATGCCATCTTCGATCGTTTTGGGAGTCTCTTGGGCCTTGTGCCGGTTGTTTGCAATCATTTTGGGTCAATCATGGGGCCGCCTGTGGGCAATTTTGGGGCCGTCTTGGGCCCTCATGTGACCGTGTTGGGGTGACAGGAAGCGCGTTTGGTTGGTCTTGGAGCGCTTTCCGGTACATTTCCAGCGTTCTCGGACGCTTGGAGGCGTGAATGAGCGAGTATTCGAAGATCATACGAAAAACAATGAAGCATCAGTTTCCAAGTTTCGAGCGCCTCTTCCAGGTGAAATTCGGGCCGTCTTCGCGCGTCCAGTAGTGGTCTGGGCCGCTTGATGCCATCTTCGAGCGTGCTGGGAGTCTCTTGGGCCTGGTGCCAGTTGTTTTGCAATCATTTTGGGCCAGTCACGGGGCCGCCTGTGGGCAGTTTGGCGGCCGTCTTGGGACCTCGTGTGAACATGTTGGGGTGTCCCGAGGTCCGCTTGCGCCGTCTCGGAGCGGACTTCGATGGTTCTCCAGCGTTCTCGGACGCTTGGAGGCCCAAGTAAGCAAGTATCCGAACATCAAACGAAAAGCAATGCAACACCAATACATTTTTAGGGTCGAACACCTGGTGGGGGTAACATTCGAGCAGTTTTCGGGCGTCTGGCAGGGGTCAAGGGCAACGTGAAGCCATCTTCGACCGCCTTGGGCGTCTCATGGGCCTTGCGACGACCATCTTGGGACTGCCGCTTGCCTGTGCGCACGCCTTGGCAGTGATTGCTAGACCGCCCCCCGGTGACAGGGTTCATTTTTTTATATATATATATATATATATATATATATATGTATATATAAGACTGCATTGGCGCTGCGCGCCATGCACCTTGGTCCTTTGAGTTATGCGCGCAAGCGGAATGCGTGCGTGCGTACATGCGCGCATGCATGTATACACGCGCGCGTGCATGCACGTTCCGTATACATGTCTAGGCTAGGTGTATACAGTATACTTACATTGTTGTGTGTATACAGCGTACATGTGTACACATAAATCAATGTGTGTAAGGGTATGAGCGTGCATATGCAACTCGTACGGGGCATCCTCGGGCATCTTCGCTGCATGCCACGAGACCCTCAATGACTGGGTCACAATGTGAAATGTCATGGGAGCAAAATCAATGAATGCTGGCGTTCGGAAACATCGTGGGGGTGTATTCGGGGCCCTCGTGGGCCGTCTTGGCGCCTTCATGGGCCGTCCTGGGGCCTTCTTGGGCAGTCTTGGGGAATTTGGGCCTGCTGGAGCCCTCTTTGGACCCATCTTGGGCACTTCCGGGGACGTCCCATGGCCCTTTTGCCTCTTGGTTACATTATGGGCTGTCTTGGGGCTCTCGTGGACGATCGTGGGGCCCGGCTCGGCCGTCTTGAAGCTTTCTAGGGGGCCTTTTGGAGCGTCTTGAGGCGATCTCGGGGGCTTTGAAACCGTCTTGAAAGCTGATGAAATCCGAAAGGCGAATATGCTAAAATTGTAAGTTTTACGAACGGAATGGGACGATTTGTGTGGTTTGAAGGCCTCTTGGAAAGCTTTTTGGGGTGCCTTGGGGGTCTTTATGTTGGCATTCGGAAACATTGTGGGTGTGTTTTCGGGGCCCTCGTGGGCTGTTTGGCGCCTTCATGGGCCGTCCTGGGGCCTTCTTGGGCCGTCTTGGCGAGCTTGGGCCCGCTGGAGCCCCCTTTGGACCCATCTTGGGCACTTCCGGGGACGTCCCATGGCCCTTTTGGGTCTGTGCTGGGAGCCCTTAGGGGGCCTCTTGGTTCCATTATGGGCTGTTTTGGGGCTCTCGTGGGCGATCGTGGGGCCCGGCTCGGTCGTCTTGAAGCTTTCTCGGGGGCCTTCTGGGGCGCCTTGAGGCGATCTCGGGGGCTTTGAAACCGTCTTGAAAGCTGATGAAATCCGAAAGGCGAATATGCTAAAATTGTAAGTTTTACGAACGGAATGGGACGATTTTTGTGTTTTGAAGGCCCCTTGGAAAGCTTTTTGGGGTGCCTTGGGGGTCTTTATGTTGGTATTCGGAAACATCGTTGGGGTGTTTTCGGGGCCCTCGTGGGCTGTTTGGCGCCTTCATGGGCCGTCCTGGGGCCTTCTTGGGCCGTCTTGGCGAGCTTGGGCCCGCTGGAGCCCCCTTTGGACCCATCTTGGGCACTTCCGGGGACGTCCCATGGCCCTTTTGGGTCTGTGCTGGGAGCCCTTAGGGGGCCTCTTGGTTCCATTATGGGCTGTTTTGGGGCTCTCGTGGGCGATCGTGGGGCCCGGCTCGGTCGTCTTGAAGCTTTCTCGGGGGCCTTCTGGGGCGCCTTGAGGCGATCTCGGGGGCTTTGAAACCGTCTTGAAAGCTGATGAAATCCGAAAGGCGAATATGCTAAAATTGTAAGTTTTACGAACGGAATGGGACGATTTTTGTGGTTTGAAGGCCTCTTGGAAAGCTTTTTGGGGTGCCTTGGGGGTCTTTTGGGCCGTCCTGACGCAATTGGAGTCCCTCTTGGAGCGCTCTTGTGCTGTCTGGGGCCTCCCTTGAGCCTTTCTGATAACCCCTCGGATCGCTCTGGGTCTGGTGGCAAGGCGTTTGTGGAGACCCAGAAAGCCGGGTAACCTTTTCCAAGGACGTCCAAGGGAGCCCGAGAACTTCAGATCCCGGGGGTCCAGTGCTTTTTTTTTGGGGGGGGGTGATGGTTTTGGCCCCCCCCCCCCCCCCGGGCTTGAAAAAATATAGGAAGAGGAATGTGTGCTATATATGAATAAAGCAACACATACGCATATACATACTATCTATATCTATAAATATGTGTGTGCACATGAACACTTTCAGCATCTGTGTGTGAGCACATGGCTGCGAACGCATCAGAGTCGATTCCAATGGGCTGGGAGCGGACGGGATCGCATGGCGTAGAGGATCGTAGGTTCGGGACTGAGATAAAACCGCGCTCAGTACAACAGACATGACCGTTCCGAAATGCCCCACATCAGCCCACGTCGAGTCGATCCACACGGGTTCAAAGAGTGGACAAGAGATCAACTACCCAGAACAACACCGAGTAAATCCATAACAACGTAGAGAAGGGGGGCGGGCTTCGAATGCCATAGACAAGAGACATTGGGGGATGAAGGCGGAAAGGCGCACACAAAGTATAATAACAGGGTGGCACATGACTAAGTTCGATAATGTAGAATATGACTGCGTAATGTACCGAAGTGGTTCGACCGAATACACCTATGGCAATGAAAATACCAACATGGAGGTGTAACCGGAAGTTTGCCGCAACGCCCATAAACGTTTAATAACATGTTGTATGGCAGAGCCCGTTACCATACAGCAACTAGGAATATGCCTTATCATCGTCATCATTGCTGACACCGCTCGGGATCCTCCCTGTTACGATTGCACTTGCGGCTGGTAGATGTACTGGTGCTTTGGATGAGTGAAGTATTGGACTAGTACCTCTTCGACTCATCGCCAACGTGAGCTATTACTTCAAGCTCGCTCGCGGTGTGGTACGGATCAGAATCGCACTCAAGGAAGCCATCTGGTGGGAAACCTTCGTCATGAGCGCACGACCAGCTCTGTCGCTCCCCCTTCCCCATCTCGCCCTCCTTCCTCCTGAGTGGAAGGTGGAGTTGCGCGACAACATCTCTCTGTCGGGGCAACATGGCATTCGAGCTGGGTCAGCACTAATGTAGCACGTGTCTGAGCGCAACAGGCGACAAATATGAATGGGGTTCGATGTGCCATGATGTGCAATTGAACTGGGCGAGTCCGCATGGAGACGCGCACTCGATCCAGCATTACACTTCGCCACAACGTTTGGCCAAGTCGCGCGAAACGACCATCATGCTTCTCCCGTATGGGCCACACGCAGTGCCCCGCACCGACGCGTTCATTTTACAACTGACATTAGACATCAAACACACCGTGGGAGGGGAAGGGTCGGGAGGGACGAAATATTACAGTGGGGGCGTTGACCTAAGGAACGCTAAATAAGGACCGAGGCCCCTTGTTCCCATCAGTTAAAGTTCGAGTTCCCATCGCATACCGAAGGAAAACCTAAGGCAAGCTGCAGAACAATCAAGGAACACGGAGCCCCTCCCCAACGAAAAGGGTTCCTTCTTCAGAGCCCCGACTGCATAGCATGGAATTGAGAGGCCGACGGGGGAAGCTTGCGACGGACAGCGATCGAAGAGGCCCACTCCCGAGAACACGAGGACTAACACCGCACAGATAACATACAGCACCGGCACTGGGAAACGACGTGGGCAATGGGCTAAACTCGCCGATCTCACAGACGACAGCAGGCACATAATTACAGCGACACTCATGACTGCTGCCTCGCAGAGAGGCCGATCGCCTCTGGCAGCCAACATCAGCCCGCCAATGCACTGATCAAGCTCTCTGCTCCGCCGTCCAGCCAGGGCGATCGTCCCGATTGGACCTCCAGCGCCATCTTTATTCCTTTGCCTGCTGGGGAGAAGACGAGGGTACCATCAGTCATAGCCATCGGAGCCCCTCCCGCGAGCGCCGACATCTTCGAACGCTTGGCCGTGGTGTTCCACGCGCAGGTCTGTCTTGGCGGCCGCCCACGCCAGGCAAAAAACAGCAGGAACGGCACGTCTTAGGAGCATCAGGACACCACGGGAAGACCACGGGGAGGGGAGGGCGGGAGGGCGGAGCCCTCCGGGAGCATCTGCCACTCGGGAGGATCTGCAGCCCGGGAGGATCGGGGATGGACAGACCCCCCTTTAGTACAACGTGGTTTAGTGAAAACGACCCGAGGCCCAAACCTGGCGGGCGCAGGCCTGGAAAATAACGGCCGCGGCGCCCTCTCGAGAACCGAAAACGGACAATTCACTGATCGACGTGTCACTGTTGGGGGTTCTGTCCGTCCCCGGGAGGATCTGCCACTCCGAGATCGGCCCGCCCTCCGGCCGTGAGGCCGTCCGCAGACGTCCTCGACGCGAGCGTGCGCCCGCGCTGCGGCGAGGGGGCCGCCCCTCGAGAAGGGGCCACCCCCTCCACCCGTGAAGCTGTTGCGAAGTTTCAGCCGAAGGGTCAAGGAGGAGGAGGAGGAGGAGGAGGAGGAGGAGGAGGAGGAGGAGCGGGAGGAGGAGGAGGAGGAGGAGGAGCGGGAGGAGGAGGGCGAAGCATGGAGGAGGAGGAGGAGGAGGAGGAGGAGGAGGAGGAGGAGGAGGAGGAGGAGGAGGAGGAGCGGGAGGGGAGGGCGACGCATGGAGGGGGGGGGGGGGCAACGCCACCCGTAGCATCCAGGGACAGTGCACTGCTTCCGTGGGGGCCGACGCCGGGGCCAAGGTCGCCGCGGGGACCGCGGAGGCCACCGCCCTCGACTTAAGCCGGGCCTGTCTCCCTACAGGGGGATTTTCGACGAAAAATAAAAGATACCCCGAAAATAGTCAAAACATGGTCCGAAAATCGTCTGGGGACTATTTTGGGGGTAATTATCTTTAGACCTTCTTGGGGTATGGTTTGGGTATTCTTTTTATTTTTCGTCGTAAATCCCCCTGTAGGGGGACAAGCCCGACTTCACCCTCGACCGCACGGGGCCACCGCCGGACCCACCGGAACACCGTGGCCACCCGCTCCCCTGGTGCCGCACGGGGCCAGCCGTGCAGCGCAGGAGGTTCCCCCCCCCGTACGTTGACCTCCCCGAGGCACCCCAGAAGCTCCCCAACCATCAAGTCGGGCCTGTCCCCCATACAAGGTTTACGAGGCTTTGCCTCTTCACTGACGGGTCCGTCAAGGACTTAGACATGCAGTCTGCCACGTGGGCTGTTGTCCGAATGTCTGAGGACTCGAACGGGCTCTCTTACACTGGTCATGTGCACGGGTATCTTGCAGACACCTGCAGGACACCAATTACCGACAACAGACCCTCGTCAACGGACGCGGAGTATGTAGGTGTGATGTGGGCTATTATTGCCATTATTTACGAAGTGGCCACGTTTGGTACCACGATAGCGACTATCAACACAGATTCATTGAATGTGGTTACGGCATTGCGAGGTGAACGAGCACTGGATACATCTTGCAGGCTCGCGGTCATGACAAGAGTGCTATGGGACTTAGCTGGGTCAATTGCCACTGTTTCGATTTCCCACATTAAGGGTCATGATGGCCACCCATGGAATACTTTTGCTGACAAATTGGCCCTGGGGACCTCTCGAGGTGATTTGGTTCCGCCTAGCTTTCCTTACGAACTGCTTGATGTCACATTGCACTCTCGTGAAAGGGAATGGGAATGGTTGAGTCAGTTGTCTGATTGTGAGCGAGCAGCTTATCCTCCGATTTCCTCCGAAAGGTTCTGTTCCTTCCCTTGTTGTGGCAAGGTCAATGTTGGCCATGTACCGGACCCCCTGGGACCCTCCAAAGTTACCAAGGCTCAGGTGAGTTGCTCGCTCACTGTGGTTCAATATAATGTTAAAAGTCTGACACGACGTGAGTATTACGGCGCAGCGGGGCGCAAAAGGCGAGCCCGTCGAGTCATGGTGCGATCCCAATTAGTGGATGAGGGTGTCCACATTGCGGGGATGCAAGAGACAAGGAACCCTATAGGCGATCGCTCTTGCAAAGGTTTTGCTATTTTCTCTTCGGGAGCTGGGCCAGGTGATGACTCTGGCTTAGGGGTGGAGCTTTGGCTCAGTCTGGACATCCCGTATGCTCAAAAATCGGGCAAGGATTTGTTTTTTTTTCGAAGCGCCACGTTCGGGTTTTGCATTCCACCCCACGAATGCTTGTTGCCTGCATTAGGGCACCCGAGCTTTGTCTCACGGTTCTGGTTGGGCACGCTCCCCACAGTAAGCTAGACGTCGCAGTCAGAAATAGCGTTTGGGCTGATGTGGCTCAACAGACCGCAGACTGGTGCCCTGACTTGTTTCTTGTTGATGCCAGCGGGCGCGTTGGCTCACTGGTTTCCGAATTTGTTTCCGATCAAGGTTTCTCACAAAAAGAAGATAGCAACGGGGCCAGTCTGCATAACATGTGTGCGATTTCGGGGACCCATCTGTTGAATGCGCAGATCGCAGCTACAGACGATCACACTTACACCTGCCCTGGGGGGGGGGGCACCATCGCATTGACTACATTGGGTGCTCTCAATTTCTACGAGACTATGCTAAGAGCACCGAGGTGCTACATGATTTTGACACTGGGCTGAAAGGGAAGGACCATTGCCCCCTCAAGGCCAAGTTTGAGTGGCAGCAAGCTGTCAAGTATCCCCTTCTTCAGGCCAAACCCATTGATATGAGGCGGCTTAAAAATCCTGATGATGTTGCCCATTTCAAGACCCTACTGAATGCCATCCCCCAGCGAGAATGGGAGCTCAATGTTTCCAGTCATGCTCTGGAGGTGCTTCAGAATATCAACGACGCTGCCAATGCTGCCTTTGCGAAGAAGGCTCTACGAGCCAAGAGGCAGCATGTTGACAATGATTCTCTCGCTCTCATACGATTCCGCCGCGGGGTGCACAAAGCGCTTCGCGCTTGGCAGGGGCATGGCTCAGAGACTTGTGAGCGCAGGTTTTCTTCTTTTGCTTTCAGGGTGGTTGCTGGGGACTTGAAACTGCTCCTTGGGACATGTGACTCAAGCTGGTGGGTCTCTCAGCTGCGAAATCTTGAGCAAGCCTCGATCCAGCGCCTTCGTGCCGGGATGGGGTTTGAGCCATATTCGCAGGCTCTTCTGGTCTTTCTCACATCCACTGAAACGGTTTTGCATCACCTTTTAGAAGCAGATCGCACACGTTTTTTGGACAAGAGTGGAGATAACATCAATGCCGCCATTGACGGCGCTCAGCCTCTCTCTGAGTGGACAGCAGTCAAGAAGCTGCTTTTGTGCGGGGGGAGGCCTTCGAGGCCAAAACAGGGGCCCCCACCGCCCCCAATGATCAGGGCACCGCAAGGTCAGGTCTTGCGGGAGGAAGGCGACATCGCCGATCACATCCAGCAGCACTTCTCGGGCGTTGAGATGGGCAAGGCAGCGCAACCACAGGCTCTGGTTGACGACTATAATCAAATGTTGTCCCTTCTCGACCCAAACTTCCCTCGTGATATTACAAGTGTTCCTACCATCTATGATGTTGAGGCGGGCCTCGCGAGGCTGAAAACTGGTCGGGTCCCAGGGACCGATGGTTTCCGATCTGAATATGGCAAGGCAGCCTCGAAGGAAGTGGCGAGACTCGTGACCCCCCTGCTGGTCAAGACAGCCATCGCGGCTCGGGAACCGATTGCATTTGAATCCGCTCGATTGGGCACATTTCCCAAAGGTTCGGAGGATTTTACTTTGGCCGCTTCACGTCGGAGCATTTTGGTTTCACCGGTTATCACCAACATGTATCATAAATATCTGAGGGGTCTTGCCATGGACTACTTTTACGCCTCAGTGCTTTCGGTGCAAATGGGAGGAATACCCGGGCGGGGGTGCGACATTGCTGTCCTCACCTCGCGTTTGCTTTTTCAGCTTGCGGAAATCCATGGGCTTCCGGCCGGGGCCTTACTTCTGGACCTGAAAAACGCGTTTTACACCACCTTGAGGCAGCTTGTCTCGGCACTCCCGCAAGACAGTGAGGATGTCGAGTATGTGCTTGCCCATATGGATTTGCCCCCCTACTTTTAGAGAGGCTCAAGTCCCAACTGGCTACTAAGCCGACGTTTGAGGATCGGATTCCATCCGAACATGCTTCGGCATCTAACTGTACCCAGCCTCGCAGAGGCACCAGGCCAGGCACTGTTTTCCCTACGGATATGTTCAATGTTGTTTTCCAGGGGGTTCACGCCGACATCAATCGGGAGCTCCATGATGTTTATGATTTCCTGGCCCTGTTTGGTATACCCACCACTGATTTATTTCTGGCAAGAGAAGCACAACTCGACACCAGAGATTGGGGGACTTCATTCGTGGATGATCTCACCCAGCCCTTTGTCACTTCTGATGCGGGACAGCTTCTAACGACTGCGCAGCGGGTGCTCGATGCTGTGCGTCGGGCCTGCTGCATCCGTGGTTTAATCCCTAACGCTGCCAAAACGGTTTTCATGTCAGCTTTTCGGGGAAAGGGTTCAATGGCAGCGAGACTGGATAAGAACGGAGATCCCCATCTCCATGTCAGGTCTGACGCATGGGACTTTCAAGCCAAGATTGTCATTGATCACCGTGTGCTTGGGTCTTTCCTCTCCCCCACCAATAGTATGGCTACGGAAGTGGTTGCAAGATGCCACAGGGCCAAGTCGGCTTTAGCCCCCATCAAGAAGGTCATCGGACCTAGGGCCATGCTCAGCATCCGTAAAAAAAGGTGCTGTATGCGGAATGTTTAGCTAGCTCCGTACTGCTTTACAATGCCGCAACTTGGCTTGAACTATCACAGAACCTGTGGAGAAAAAGTACGCACCACACATGAACAGGTTTACCGTGCTGCTCTGCATCTTCCGTGCGCCAACAACGCAGAAGAAAAAGTCACTTACTTTGAGGTGTTGGGCCAAGTTTCGCGTCTTCCTCTTGCCGCTGTGCTTTCGGTGGCGCGCCTTAGGTTATTAGCTCGGCTCATGGCTGGTTGTCCGGACATTCTGCGCGTTTGTCTGCAATATCTTTGTGAGCCGATTAGAGGCTGGATGGCTCTTATTGAGGCTGACCTAGTCTGGTTCACTTCTTTCCTCGACCCCAGCAAACGGCCGCAGGACAATACTGTGCCCAGCTGGATCAGGATTATTAAAGACAGCCCTAAGGCTTTTCGTTCCACCTTGAAGACTGTTGCCTCCAAAGCTGTACGATTCTGGAATGACCAGTTCCACCTTGAGGCGTGGAACAGGAGGTGCAGGCAGCACCTTCGGGGGTCCCCGCTCGAAAAGCAGGTTGGGCCTGCGCCCGCAGTAAAGTGCCCCCATTGTCCTGCAGTTTTTGCTTCTGAACGTGATTACCACGTCCATTTGGGCAAGTTTCATGCCCCCCCACAGTGCGCCCAAAAACTTTGTGGTGGGGACTTGCTGCCAGGTTTGTTGCAAAGACTTTCACACCCCTGGGAGGCTCCACAAACATGTTTCCAGAGTTGGGCGTTGTCGTCGGGCCTGGTTTTTCTCGGGACTTTGTCTTGGGGATGAGACGGCTGTTGCTGCGAACATGCACGAGATTCGTGAGCAAGCCGCTGCGAATCGCAAATCTGGCAAGCAAGATCATCATGCGATCAAGCCCCCCAAGCGTTTCTTTGGACCCCCCATTGCTCTACCAGGACAGGGGCAGCAGCTACCACAGTTCGACGCGCCTGAAGAGGTGCCACCACCACCACCGCCGCCAGTGTTCAGCCCCTTGCGGGCACCGTGCAGGCCACATATGTACATCTTACATCTCTTCTCAGGTTATCGACGACAGGACGACTTCCAGCACCAGGTGGAAGTGGCTTTAGCGCGGTTTCATGCTAATATCATAGTATTATCTATAGATGTTATCAACCACTCTGTTTGGGGTGACTTAACTAATGATAATTCAGTGTTAATGTGGATTCGTTTGGCCAAATCTGGACGAGTGGCTGGGGTCATGGAAGGCCCCCCCTGCGAAACTTGGTCGATTGCGCGTTTCAGGGAACCTGTTCAAGGAGCCCGTGGGCCCCGTGCGAGACCACCCAGACCTCTGAGGCTTGCATCCCAGCTGTGAGGGCCCCCGTTTGTCTCTGAGCGTGAGTCTGATCAGCTCTCTCTGGGAAACAGACTGCTGCGAACCACACTTGAGTTCGCAGTGGTTTGCTGGAGGCTGCTCATTCCTGAAGCTGTGGAGCACCCAGCTGAGCCTTGGAGCCCCCCTGAGGCCCCGAGCTCTTGGCACTTGGAGCTCACCAAAGACCTTCTTCAACAACCGGGGGTGGAGAAGCACACTATCCATCAATGTGCGTTTGGGCCCCCCTCGCGCAAACCTACGTGTCTCATGGGTGTGCATTTTGGAGCCCTACGGGATGCCCTACAGGCAAGGCCTCAAGGAGTCCTCTGTCACCATCCTACGGGGCACATCGCTCTCGAAGGTGTGGATCAGCAGGGGGTCTGGAACACCGCTCATGCTAAAGTTTACCCCAAAGGGCTATGCGAGCTTCTTGGGAGGGCCTTTGTTCAGGAAGCATGGGTGAAGTTTCCCTGGTTATTTGATACCCCCCCACCGCCACTACCCACTCCTGCATCGACTGTGACGACACGACGGTTACGATTCAAACAACCACCACGACCCACAGCGCGGTTACATGCCGAGAAGCCGCGACAAGAAGGATGGAATACACAGTTTGTACCTACAGATACGCAACATGTATGGACTTACGAAGACGAGTTATGGTTACGACAGCAATAGAATCTTGACGAAACGTGCGATGAGTGGTTACCACCGTCATTGCGCAGATACTACGTGCCATTGGACCCGTACATGGACACGAGAACGATTGGTATGGATTGCATGCGACAAAATATGCCGGACAGAGAGGATGCAGGGCAGAGCTAACTCTCATTCTTCTATATAGCCCTCCCCCTGCTCACCTGATGTCTCGCCTAACAGCAACTTTGTAAGCCTCTTGGGGGCCTCACGAGTACAGTGTACGGACCAGAGGTAAGGTGAAGGGCTGGACTATGAAGGTGATGCCGTGCCCACCCAAGCGCCGCGAGTGTACACTCACTTTAAAAAGTAGTAGTAGTCCAGTGCTGTATACTATTGTATACCGCTCAACATTGTCAGTAGCTGACCCTCTGGGGGTGAAGTCGTCTCTTCCAGATTGTATTACTTATTTCCTTTATCCCTCTTAGAGTGTACGCCCACTTTAAAAGGCAGTAACCCATACTGCACTGCTTGATCGGGGAGGGAGAGGGTTGCAATGGGTGGGGATTTCCACGACTCATGGCTGCCAATCTCACCTGACCTGATAGACTCTGTACGGCCTGGTGCAGCTGTGTGGCTGCATAGAGCCGAGGTTTCACATTGTTGCTGCTGGCTGCTGGCTCTGCTGCCGCCGCCGCTCTCACCCCCCGTCTCCCTCTTTTTGCCGTCCACCCTCTGTGATCGGGCTTCCACTCTCTGCCCTAAAGCCGCGAACGAACGAACGAGGAGGAGGAGGAGGAGGAGGAGGAGGAGGAGGAGAAGGAAGACGAGGGAGGAGGAGGAGGAGGAGGAGGAGGAGGAGGAGGAGGAGGAGGAGGAGGAGGAGGGGGAGGGGGAGGGGGGAGGGGGGAGGGGGGGGGAATCTGCGGCACACGCACCTTTCGCTGTACGGGAGGGCGTGGCTGGCAGCGGCGAGGTGCGCCTACATTTTCGAGCGTCGAGCTTCGGATGCTTCTGCTGCTGCTGCTGCTGCTGCTGGCGCCGTCGACCACTCCTCCCCGCTAACGGCTCCGACAAATCATCCCTCTCCACCTCCTCCTTTCTCTTCTCTCCTTCCTCCCTCCCATTCCGCCTCCCCCCTCCAACGATACAGTCGAGGCTGATTGGAGAGGACACGCGAGAGGACACAAGACCCTTACGAGGGCCACACTGCCGTAGGAATGCAGAAATGCAGAAGGCATGGGTCGCCAAACACAGGACACAAGAGCACCCTTGAGTTGGCAGGGTCGACCTACCACTCCGCCTTGACTGTACCCACTCACCCAACCCAGAACCCCCTCCCCACCGCTCAAATAAGAAAACAGTATAACCAAGAGCATCCCGACCTCCTCCTCCTCCTCCTCCTCCTCCTCCTCCTCCTCCCCATCATCTCTATCACGCCAAGATCTGGAGTAGGGGCGAATCGAACCACAGTGTCACTGGCATCAAGCATCGAACCAGAAGGACGGATGACAAGGACAACCGACACGGCCGAGACTGCCTGGCAGGGCAGCGCAGACGTCCGTGTTTTTTGTTTGTCCTCTGCACCTCCTCCCTGAGATGGACGGCCGGACAACATCTCTCAGACGTGCGGGCCGGGGAGCTCTCCGCCTCCTCCCTGGAAATATATGGTTTCTCGTCGCGGGCCGGGTCGCTTCTGATGGTCACAGGGCCCAAGTCGGACCTCGAGAGGCCCAAAGTCGAAGATACCGGCCGTCGTGTTTTGCTGCGGCGTGCGGGGGGGAGAGGGGGGGGAAAGTGAGAACTCGAAGGCCTTCTGAGAAGGCAGCGGGACTTCTCAGAAACCCTCGCGCCTTCTGAGAAGATCTCCGTGCCCTCGGGGGGATCAGAGCACTTTTCTCAGAGGGCCCGGGGACTCCCGAGCCTTGTCGGAAGGCCTTTTTCTTCTCACTTCCCACCTTCGCTCGTCGCCGTGTTCTGTTCTGCAAGACTCGGGTCGGGCGAAAGGGGGGGATAGCAAAGGGGGGGTTTGAGAATCAGCTCACGTAGCTGATTTTCCCGGCGCCTCCCGGCGCCCGAGGCGACTATGTATCGAGAAACGGGCCCCTTGGTGGGGCCGAAACTAGCTGCATGCAGCAAATTTCGTAACCCCCCCTTTCCCAATCCCCCCCTTTCGTCCGGCCCGAAAGACGTCCACCCGGCACCTGGAGCATCAGGTCGAGCAGGTGCAGGGCCTCGTGGATGTCCGCCTCGGCCGGGCGAGCGTCAGCAATTTTCCCGCCCGGCCGAGCAGCTCTCCAGTCGTCTGGTCGCTCGTCCCGCCTTTGCCCGTGCAGGAATCCTTGACCCAAGGACCCCAAGGACACACAAATAAACACACACACACACACAGATAACAGGATTCTCCATATGTTGCCATATTTTCTGGGGTTTCGTCTCCCCCCCAACTTCCCATATTTTCTGGGGAATCGTTGATTAATTGTGTCTGTGTGTTTTTCCTCTCCTGAACGATGCCAGATGTGATTGCTCATCACACGGTACAATCAACCCGCAGAGTAAGGATGCGCGGGTAAGGATGCGAGGGCCTCGGACGCCCATGCCGAGGCTCCTCGAGCGGGGCTGGCCATTGAAGGTGGTTGGGGTTGGGCCGAAGATGACCGAAGAGGCAAGAATGCAATGGTGCCCTTGGGGAGCCGGTCATCTGTAGACTAGAGTACCTAGGGCCAACATGGGTACATGAAAGTGTCTCGTGACCCACAGGCTAAGCATGTTCCAAAGGGCCCTTGCCAGATACTAGGAGCCTGAGATAGGACACGAAGCCCAATTTGATCCCAGCTGCGCCTAGATTCACGCGAGGGGCCCGACGAAAAGCCTAAGGCCGGACACCCAAAGACTCTTCCGAAACCGAGGGGGAAAAATGAGAAACCTCTTCCTCCACACCACCTCAGCGCTCGAAGTCAAAACAGCTCCCGTGCCTTGGCAGACCGCTTGGCGACAGCTCCCGCCTGCGCCTCCATCAAACTTGAAAAACTGGGCACTGGGAGCTACACTCTGCGCACGCAGCCCACTAAAGGTCGGTACAGGGGGCAGTAGCAAGGTTTACAACGAATCCCAGCGTGCGCACGTCTTCAATAATCGAACCGTGGGCGCGCATATCTGAAAACCTGGCGGCACGTTTGCCATTCAATTGGCGATCACCGCTCAGACTACACGGCGCTCATGCTAATCAAGAACATGTATCAACCCAACGCACGGCATCCAAAATCACATAACACCGGTGATCATGTGCACGCGGTTTTGTGGTGCACCACCCACTACAAGCGTCTTATGCGTAGCTGAACCAGGGCAATTTAGACGTCCATGCGCAATGTGATGACGCAAGTGCTTATGCTTTCGATGCGTCGTGCATCTGTTTATATGCATTTATGTATGTACATATATATAGTTGTGTATGTATTTAACATAGAGAGATGCTGCATATGACTATGCTTGCCTCTGCCTGCATCGCAGACTAATCAAACAGCTGGCACCGCGACTATGTGCAATCAGCAATCTGATTTTTTGCACACCGTGCCCAAAGACTACCACCCTTCCAGGGAAGGATGGGGAGCAGGAGCTGGAGCGCGAGAGAACTTTCTCAACGGGGCAGGCCAACTGGAGCAGAGCACCTAGCGCAGGGCGTCGGGCGAGAGAGGTAGGAAGCAATCGCACAGAGGGGGAGGGGAGGGCGACTTGTAGGCATAGGGTGTCGAGAAGACATTGTCGTTGGTCGAAGTAATCCACGCCACACGAGACCAGGGATAAGTCTCGGGAGAATGGTTCCCCGAGGGTCTGCGCGGGCGGGAGACTCTGCGCGGGGTCCGCGGCACCTTCACGCTGGCGGTCTTCCGCTTGCGCAGCTCCAGCCCGCTGCGGAGGCACGCTTCCTTGTGCTCCTGGCCCACGCCCTGGCCCCCATGACCCAAACCAAAGAGGTGCTGGCCAATCGCCTCCCCCCTCCTCCTCCTCCTCTTCCTCCTCCTCCTGGTCCATCTGCGCCTCCTCCTTTTACTCCTCCTCCTCCTCCTCCTCCTCCTCCTCCTCCTCCTCATCATCATCATCATCATCATCATCGTCATCATCATCATCATCATCGTCATCATCATCATCATCATCATCAGCATCATCAGCATCATCATCATCAGTATCGGCAGCATCATCATCATCATCATCATCAGCAGCAGCAGCAGCAACATCATTCTAGTCGACATCCTCATCCTGCATCCCTCCTTCCCGGCCCATCCGTATTTAACTCCTGCTCCGCTTCCCCCTCATACTCCGTCCCCTCCTTCTCCGCGTTCCTCGTTGTTCTCCTCAACGCTCGTCGAGCCGAGCGTGCTCCTCTTTCCTGGTTGCTCTTCCCATTCCTCTCTCTTCCTTTGCGTGCTCGGACGTTTAGGTATCGGTCTTCCTCCCCCATCTCTTCCTCCTCCGCCACTCGCCACGACCTGTCACTTCAGTTTCCCTGGGCCCGAAAATTGCCCCCCCCCCCCCCCCCCCCCACACACACACCCACCCACCACCCCCACCCACCCACCCACCCACCCACACGCACACGCACACACACACACACACACACACACACACACACACACACGCGCGCGCGCACGCGCGCACACACACACACACCAAGAGTTGGGCTCTTGTTTCCCAACGCATCCCCCGCTCCCTGCCCTTATCCCTCGCCTCCTCCCTCCTCCTCCTCCTCCTCTTCCTCCTCCTCCTCCTCCTCCTCTTCCTCCTCCCCCCGCTGCCCTCATTCGCCTCCTTCTCCTCCTCCCCTCCTGCTGCACTGGTACCCTTGCCAACACCACCACTCCCCCCATTCCGCCACTGCTTCACCAGCCCCGCTCCATGAGCCCAACCGGCCCTCCTCGAGCAGCCCCGCCCGTACGTCCAACCCCCCCTGGCAGGGAGGCTGCGTCAGACCAGGCCCGCCATGCGGGCGCTGCGCGCCTCGTGCCCCTTGTCGCCCTGTGCGTCTTCGAGGTCGGGGGGCGTGCCCGCTCATTTTCATCTCACTGCTTGATGGCCGAATCCCTTGAACTCCTGTATCGCTCTTGCCCCTCCTGGGAGACCGCGCCACCCCGCGCCCCGCTGTGCGGGTGCCCTCGTGCTCAGCACGGACCACACACCTTCCGCTCCGCCCGGTCGCGCCAGAGCTGGTCAAGCGTCGGGAGAGGCCCTGCCAGACCGCGCCGCGGCGGCCCTCGGGATGCCCTGTTATCTAGACGCGGCCGTGCACCTCCCGCTCCACCCGTCGCGCCAGGATCCCAGCATCCACTTGCCCCTCCAGCGAGGCCTGGCTCTCGGTCCTCCCCGAGGGCGCGGCCCGATTCGCACCTGCATGCGGGGAGCTCCGACAGCAAACACACGTGTTTCGTGTCGTTCGGCGCCTCATCCTAAGAGGTCGATCCTCCCTCAGTCCCACCGCAACCCGTCCACTGACACCCTCACGAACACCGTCACCACTCCCACCACTGCTCCGCCACCGCCGCCACTGCTCCACGAGCTCAACTCCATGGTTCTGAGCCCTCGTAGTGCGCGCGACCCAACCAGAACCATCATCATGCCGGGAGCCCCGATGGCAAACTTGCTTTTCGCGACCCTGGGAAGCCTGGGGCAGGAGGGGGGGTGGAGAACCGGGAACTGGGGATGGGGCTCACCGTGTGCCTCGAGCAGAATGTGCGGGGCCAGCGGGGACTCCAAGCAGTAAGCTATGGTAACATGACTGCGTGAGCAGTGAGCTATGTGGACCGAGCTATGTGGTGTAAGCTACGTGATGCAACATACGTGGTACCAACCTTAGGTCGGGCAGGTCCCCTACAGGCGGATTTTGCACCAAAAATTAAAAGTTGTCAACAATGCGTCAAAGTATATAAACCAAACATAAAACATCGTCCCCATACTAGTTTATAACTATTTTGGAATTTACCTCCTGTAGAGGGACACGCCCGATTTCATACAAGCCCGAGGCGGCCACGACCACGAGGCGGCCACGGGCGGCAACGTGGCGAAACCTCGCCGGACCCACCCAGCGCGCGACGCGACCACGGGGCGCCGAGGGCGGCAACGTGGAAAAACCTCGCCACACCCGATCAACTCCGTGGAGCGAGGGATCTGAATTCCTAAGTGCAAGCGCTGTTTGGGGAACAGGAATTCGAAAAAAGGCGACGCCACCACCAACACCAGCGAGGAGGCGCAAGGGAGGGTCCAGCAGGTGGTGTGGTTTCCCCCCCCCCCCCCCTGGCTCGAGACATCCGCCATCCCCAGCTCGGGGAGGCATCGTTCGAGGAAGGAACAAAAAGCATAAACATAAACTTTCCACGATCCGCGCGGATTTCTTGGATTTGCGCTGGGGCCCCCTCCCTGGCGCGCGGAGCGCGCCAGGGTTGTCGCCGGAGGCGCCGCCAGGGGGATCCAGGAACTCCGCGTGAAGCGTCGGAAGTTTCCGTGCAGGAGCTTTGTCTTCGTCGAATCGAGGTCCCCCTCGCGCTGGAGGTGGCCCCCCTGGTGGTGGTGGCGGTGTCCGCCCGCTCGTCCTCTGAGCTAACCAGCCTCGCGCTTATCCCCATCCCTAAGATGGGCGAGCAAAACGCGAGGACTATCTTAGGGATAGGCCCTCAGAAGCTGAGGGAATCCTTAAGATCGGCATCGGGGTGAGGTGATGTCGAACATGGGGATAGGGATATGTTTCAAACTGGTAACGAGCGAAGGCTCGCGCGTGGTCCGAGCTCCGAAGGGCGCCCTCCCGCGGCCCGTGGAGGCGGGGCCCCTCCAGGAACTCGCGGGCCTCCTCCAGCGTCAGCTCCAGCCGGAAGCCCAGGCCGACCTTCCGGGGGGAGGCGCGGCGAGGCGCTGGAAGGCACGAGGAGGAGGAGGGAGGAGGAGGAGGAGGCGGAGGAGGAGGGAGGAAGAGGGAGGGTGACGGGGGGAGAAGGGTGAAGAGGAGGAGGAGGAGGAGGAGGAGCGGGGGCAGACAGAACGGATGGAGAGGGGCGAAAGTGGAGGCGTGAGGGCAAGGTCGTAGAAATTCGCATCCAACTGACAAAATTACTATAACGCAGCGTCAATGAGGGGGATGGGGACTCGGGTGACAAGCCGAGGTACGCGGAACAGTTGATGGAATGTTGCCAACTTAAGGGAGAGAGAGAGAGAGAGAGAGAGCGGTACTTCCGGCCCAGGGCGATGCTGCTGCCAGAACACGCCAGGCATGCTGCGACACATCGGACAAAGCTGTACAGTAACGCGAACGATCTGCTCCTGGATGCACATTGATGCGTGCGCGAGAGACTGGCTGGCGCTCGGCCCGCCCAAGGCAGCCTGCTGCAACCGAGGGCTGCGCCAAAAAGCTCCACCGGCAAAACACGCAACATGCAATCCGCCGGCCCCCGTGGGGCTGCTCGGCGCCTTGACGTGCTCGCCCCTCCCCGGATTTGGACGCCCGAAATGGGTACGGAAAACATGGGTACAACGCCCAACAACAAATGTTGTCCCAAACCAACAGCGGCCGCTGTTGGGCAGGCGGCCTTCTGTCTCGAATGGACACAGGCCGCGGCGGCGTGGACAGCGAATCCTGTTCAAAATGAGCAGGAACTGCTGTTGGGCATTGTACCCACTCTTTCCGTGTCCATTTCGGGCGTCCAGACCAGACCCCTCCCCTGGCAGCTCGGCCTGGCTGGTTTGGAGAGGGTGGGGTGTGGCCGTTTCCGCTGGATCAGGTTTCCGCAAGAGGATTCATGTCGTTCAGAAGTACCCCCCAGACGGCCTCAGACGGTTTCGACATGGCCCCCAGCGGCCCCACGGTGGTCAAGATGGCCCCACATGGCTTCCATACGCGCCATGGTGGCCTGACGGCAGCCCGTGAAGCCACCCAAACACCCCCACAGGGCTCCCAGAGGACGCCCACGAGGGCCCTCGCAAACACAAATCTGCACAGATCGCACCGACTCCAAAAAAACACGTGCATTTTTACAACGCGCACCGTCTTCCTCTTGTGTTCCGCGCCTCATGATTGCTCCAGTTGCCATGGATCGCCACAAAAAGGCCCAGGAACAGCCCCAAGACGGCCTGGCCCAAGTGGGCCCCCAGACAGCTCAAGAGGGCTCCGAAGTGGCTCAAGGCGCGCCCAAAACGGCCTCCGAGAGGCCCCTCAAACAGCCTGCGAGCGCGCTGGGCGGCTTCAGAGTGCACGAAGACGATCCGAGACGCCCCAAAGGAGGTCCCGCGATGCCTTACACAATCCCCTAGAAGCCATAAGATGCCGTCCAAGGGTCTTCAGCCAGCCTCCAGGAGCCCTAAAACGCCCGTGCTCCACGCAATCAAGACGCGAACCCTGCAAAGGACCCAGGCAGGACCCGGGCGGCCTTCCCGACGCCTGCGGGCGCGCCCGGATGCCTCAAAAAGGATCCCATGTTGGCCATCTTGGACCCCTGTTGTGCTGTTTCGGGGCTGTTTTGGACTGCCTGGAAGCTCTTTCGGATACTTGTGGGGCGATTTTGCAGCCTCCCAGGCGGCTTCGGACGCCCAGAAGACCGCCGTCTTGGAGCGTCGGGGAGCCGAAAAGAGGATAACCCCAAAATTCACCAAAAACCAATGGAAAATCACAGATGTTTGCCTCTTGGGTCCTTCGTGGAAGTGCTCTTGGAGGCCTCTTGGGACGTTTCGGAGCGATCTTTGGGGGTATGACGGCTTCGTGGGCGTCGTCGTGGACCGTATTGGGGCTCTCTGGGTTCGTTTCGGGAGCGCACGGGAACGCCTGGAACCCGTCTGGGGCCGTCTTCGGGTGCTGGGAAGGCTTGGCGAAACGCCCTGCGAGGCCCGGGGAGCCGCTTCGAGGCCCGTCCCCAAGGTCCCAAAGCCCCAGATCCCGGGAGTCCAATTGTTTTGGGGGGGGGACAGGTTTTCCCCCGCCCGGGCTTATAAAACTATAAGAAGAGGAATATATATATATATATATATATATATATATATATATAGATAGATAGATAGATAGATACACACGCATACATTTACACATTTATAAACACACAGATCTAAAGGCTGCCGCCTCTGCCGCCGACCCCAGAAGAGCTTGCATGTCCGAATGTAACCAAGTGTGGTTTGTTCCATTCTTCAAGCGGCCTGCCAGATCGCCGCAAGACGGGCGAATATACGCGCAGACGAGCCCGACGACGGCCCAGCTCTCCGATTTGGAAATCTTCACACCTTACTTGCTGTTAGGGTGTTTGCTGGGGTAGTCGCCTGTTCGGGCCCTCCTGGGTGGCCTCTTGGAGGCCTCTTGGGGCGTCGTCGGGGCTAAATCTGGAGCTGTCGCGGCCACCCCGCGATCACAGGCAAGGGGCTTTTGACAGGGACGGCGGGGGTGGCGGCGTATGGCCTGCTGTGCGCATGCCCACCAGACACAATGATGGGCACTGCTTTTCAACAAAGATGGTGGCGACCGACTTGTTCCGCGATGTGTGCTGTCACGTGCACAGGTGCACCTGACACACTCTGCACGTGCCCCGAACGCGGCGCACCTGGCGGCGGCTGGAGTATGCGGTACACCTGGCGCGCGCGGAGCACGTGGCGCATCTGGTACACCAGGCGTGCGTGCCTGGCACACTCGGGTCCACGGGGTGCCTGGCACGCCTGGCACGCCTGGCACGCGTGGCGCACCTCCGCGGAGCACGTGGCGCATCTGGTGCACCGGACGTGCCTGGCACGCTCGGGCCCTGGCGTCGCGCACGTGGGGTCGGTTTTGGTTCTCAGGAGCTGCCCGTCCAAAGACGAGCGCTGAACATGCTGAGGCTCGGGTGTTACTTTTGTGTTGGAGGGCGGGTGAGAGTGAGCTAGACGGCTTGTTGCCCAGGGGGTGTCTTGACCCCTCCCCCCTACCCCCTCACCTGGGCATGGGAGGGGTAAGGGGAACCGCGCAGACAGAGTTAAAAGATGGGCCCAAGATAGCTCCAACAGGGCCCTCGGCAGTCCAAGACGGCCTCCAAGATGGCTCAAGATAGCAGAAGATGGTTCAATATAGCCTCCTACACGCCTCCAAGACGCCCCAAGCAAGACAGCCCCAAGACGGTTCCAAGTGCCCTTCGAGCATTCCTGGGCACCCTCCAATAGGCCCAAATCCTTCGAACACCTGGGGAATCAATGTGTTGTTGTGCCTTCTCGCGTTTTCGCTTGCGATGGACTTTTGAGGCCTCAAGATAGCCCCAAGATAGCCCAAGAAAGCCCCAAGAGGGGCTTATGAGCGCCCAAAAACTGTCCCACGAGCGCCCAAGAGACGCCCAAGAGCGGCCCCAGAAAGATCCAAGACGCCATGGTTGAGTCTCCGAGGGGGGGGGGCTGAATTGCACCCCCCCTCCCCCCTCTTACCCCTCCAATGAGCCCCAAGAGGGCCGCAAGACCCCCAAAACGAGCCCCAAGAGGGCCCCTCCACAGTGCCCCAAGAGGCCCCATGGGGACCCCAAGAAAGCTCCTGAGATGGTCTCAATCATCCTCCTTCAAGAACCTCTCACAAAAACATCCCCAACGCCCGACTGCTCATTCATCTTGACATCGTCCGCTCCTTCCCTCCATTTTTCCTGCCTGCTCCCTCCTCCTCCTCCTCCTCCTCCTCCTCGTCGTCCTCCTCCTCCTCCTCCTCCTCCTCGTCCTCCTCCTCCTCGTCTTCCTCCTCCTCCTCCTCCTCGTCATCCTCCTCCTCCTCCTCCTCCTCCTTTTCCTCCTCCTCCTCATCTTCCTCGTGCCGCATTCCTCCTCCTCCTCCTTCTCCTCCTCCTCCTGTTCTTCCTCCTCCTCCTCCTCCTCCTTCTCTATTTGATTTCCTCCTCCTCCTCCTCTTCTTCCTCCTACCCCCAAGATGGTCCCAGGAGGTCGAGCATGGCTCAAGATAGCCTCCGACAGACCTTCAAGAGGCATCAAGGCAGCCTCATGATGGCCCAAGATACCTGAGCACGACGGCTCACGATAGCCTCCGACAGCCTCTGGCAGAGCATGGCTGGCTCAGGATAGCCTCCAAACGGCCTCACCTAAGCTTTCGATCGTGTCTGGATGGACTGGTGGGGATACGCGACGTTTCAAGAATTTTGAGACGAATGCAGCGGGTGCGACGAGGGCCTCCCATGAGGCCCAAAAAGGGGACAACGAGGGAAGGGCAGCAACGTAGGTCAGGGGTCGACCCAAACGGTGTTTGGGCAATTTCGTGGGCCGTTTTCGTTTCGATTGCGATTTGCGGCAAAGGCGGATTGAAGACAAAACGAGGGAAAACAAAAACACAACGAAAACGAACGACACTGCTTGGGTCGATCCCTGGTGCAGGTACCTCTCCCTCCTCTGACCCCCCCCCGACATCCACGAAAATGCGGCTGGTGTCCGGGACGAACGCGTTCACATAAAACTGGCAGCCGAGCTCCACCATCGTCTCCTGCTCGGCCGAGGTCGGGGGCGCGTGCGCCCTCGGGAGCGGCCAAGAGGGGGGTGTCCAAGAGGGGTGTGTGTGCAAATCATGACCGGCGGCATGTGCGCGGCCCGGCGGGGGGGCCAGGGACGTAATGAAATAAGACGGGGCGCCATGAAATCTGGGGAAATATCATGGCCCCCGCCATGATATCCCCCTCCCCCCTAGCCATCACCCCCCTCTTTTCCGCCCCCGACGTGCGCCCGGGAAGAGCGGCGCCGCGCAGCTCCCCCGGGGAGCTGCGGGGAGGTGGACTGCGGCACCTTCGCGCCGCGGCGACTCCTCAAAAGCCCCGACCCCTTCCCCATGGAGAAGTTTTAACATCTTATCGTGATCAGACTTATGATTTTCGCATTATAGTGATGGAGACAAGGAGTTTCATGTTCTAGAAAAGAAGATCCGATCATTGCCAAAAATACAATGTGGTGCATATGCCATTAATGCTACAACCCTCGTCAAAAATAAACTGAGGGATTATGTTTTCGGTGATTGCATGGTCAGCGCTACTCCAATGCTGACGCTAGATATCTGACGCGGACGCAAGGGCTTCAAACATCCGACGACCCCTCCGCAGCACTGAAGAACGAAGTTTCTATCAAGTGCCCGAGAAGATCGATCGTCGGGGTTTCCAACTGCGTTTCTGTTTATTTATGACGATGCTAGGAGGAGGAGGAGGAGGAGGAGGGAGGGGGAGGAGGAGGGAGGAGGGGAGGAGGAGGAGGAGGAGGAGGAGGAGGAAGGAGGAGGAGGAGGAGGAGGAGGAGGAGAGGAGGAGGAGGAGGGAGGAGGGAGGAGGAGGAGGAGGAGGAGGGAGGAGGAGGAGGAGGAGGAGGAGGAGGAGGAGGGGGGGGGCTTGTCCCAGATCCAGTGCGGCAGGGCCCTGCGGGGCCCGAGGACGGGCCCCTCAGGGCCGAAAAGTCGAGGAACAGCGCCCCGATGCTGGCCATCGCTCGGACGCCCCTTCCCCGTGTTTTTTTCGTCGGTTTCGCGCGTGGCTTCTTCGCCGAATGGTAAAGGCTGCTCCTCGATGGTCCTCGACGAAGGAGAAATGCACACGCCCGAGCGATGCCAAGGATGGAACATCTCGGGGGTCTTCTGACCCGGGCCAGTGCGAACCCGGTCAGTCAGGCCTTGCAGGCTCCTGCAAGATCCTGCAGGATCATGCAGCCAGACCCGGGTCAACGCGACCCTGGCCCTGCAGGATCCTGCGAGATCGGCGCCCTGACTGACCCCCATTTGCATTGACCCCCGTCTCTTGAGTCCCGAGAGAACTCAACGGCGAGCGAGGGGGGGAAGTGAGACGGGGCGGGCCTGCTCAGAAGGCTCGGAAGTCCCCCGACACTCTGAGAAGTTTCCTGAGCCTTCCCGGAAGACGCCACAAACTTCTCAGCAGGCTTGAGGGCCTCTGGGAAGGCCTTCTCCTCCTCATACCTCCCCCCCTCGCTCGCCGCCGAAAAACATCATGCCCTCGGAGGTCTCGGGCCAGCTACCCCCCCCACCGGGGGACCCCAGGTCGGCTGCACGAAAGGGCGACCGTGGGCAGGGGGGACGCGGGGTGGCCCAACCCCGGGCGAGCAAAGCGCTGTTACCGCATCGCCTTCGGCGATCGGGCGGCCCCACCGAGCCCGCACCAAAGGTCCCCCCCCTGAGGTCCGACGTCTCAAAAAAATTAGACTGAAGGGGCCCTGGGACACACAAATAAATACACTCAAATAAAAGGATTCCCCATCTTTTCCCATATTTTCTGGGCTTCTGTCTTCCCCCCCACTTCCCATATTTTCCCATATTTTCTTGGGAATCGAAGATGAATTGCGTCTGTGTGTTTCTTTTCCTCCTGGTAGACGCCGTGAACAATCGCGCCCGGGGCGTCGACGGGCGCTCTCGGGGCGGGGGGGGTCCGAGGCCATCGGGCGGTCCGTCCAGGCAGCCAGAGTTAGGGCGGTCACGTCCTCCTGCACGCGGATGTTGGAAGAGAAGTAAGAGTGGTCAACAAAGGCTCAAAATAGACAGAGATAGCAGGAAAACAGCGTCCCCACAATTGTGTTGACGAGAAATAAATAAAAGTGGTCAACAAAGGCTCAACATAGACAGAGATCGTAGGAAAACATAGTCCCCATATGTTTGTTGGCTATGTTTGACTGTTCCTCCTGTAAGGGGGGGCATGCCCGACTTGAAATCAGATGGCGACGGGCCTCGCGCGAGACGGCACAGCGGCCTTGCGCGGTGGCTTACGACGCGGGCCGCCAGGCGCGCCGCATGCCACACTGGAAGCGAGAGCGCTTTTGCGCGCGCGCGCTTGCGCGGGCAGTTTACGCGCGCGAAGGTCGACGAAGAAAGCCCTGGTTGTGGCGTCGCTCGAGCTCAAGTTTGACCAGGGACCGACCGTCCCGGCATTCCCATAGGCCTACCACGAAATCTTCTAGAACCCACACATGTTCGAAGAACAGCAGCCATGTTCTTAGAACGTAAGCCTGGTGTGTAAAAACAAATCAGTATCAGCCATACATGTTCTCATACATTCGCGCAGACCACAAAGGTTTGTTAGAGCATACTCTGGTGGGCTTCTAGGGAAGCCAGGACGCTTCGCCACTGCTTGACAAAGAACCCTGCAGGTGAGACTACTGGAACAACACGGGCTGGGGCTCAGAACCCGAAGGGTGCCTGCAGCCGGAAGAGCCCAAGCGGGGGTATCCGAGGCCCCAGGGCGTTGTGGATGCCACCACGACAATGGGCACCCTAACAGTCCTTTCATTGAATGTTAAATGTGTTTCAAATGTCGGAACATGTTCCAAACATGTTTTAAACATGCTTTTACATGTTTAAAGCGTGTTTAACACATGCTTTCGACATCTGGAAAGTGTTTGGCAACATGCTTCGTCTCCATTGATCGCCCTCCACAACCCAAGCGCCGATCGGACGCGCGGCTGCAGGGCTCGCGGGCGAGCGCAGACTGCCACCTGCGTGGCGCCCCGCGGGCCCCTCAAGAAGCGCGCGAGGGCCGCCGCGAAGGACCTCCGGATCTCGGGATCATGAGCAGTATGCCCAACTGGTTAATGCGGGATGACGATTCAAACAAACGGGAGGGAACGATTCAAAAAATAGTGCTCTGCTATTTCTGCACAATCTTCTGACTGGAGGAGAACGATTCATAATATAAGGTTTTCCAGCCCGCGGCCGGTTTTTTCTAATCGTCATCCCGGGCGCCGCCGAGTGAACACGACCCCCGGTCATTTATTAATCGTCATCCTCCGTTACTGCACGCGCAGGCCGCGAAGGCGGAGGGCGGGCGGCGGCGGGTCTCTCCAGCTCGGTGACGCCATCGCGGACGAGCAGATCGATGTTCTCGTGCCGTGGTCGGCTGGCCATCGGCGGGGGGGGGCGCCCCGGCGCACGGCCTGCGTCACCCACCCCGACCTCGCGCACCGCGCCGCGAGGGCCGCGAGTCGCGGCTACCCTCGCGCGCCCGCGCCGCTGCCCCGAAGAACAGGTGGCACCTCCCTGGCGAGCCCGCGAAGCGCGGTCATTTTCGCGCTCCTGCGGGCGGCCTGCGGCAAGCTCGTGTCGTGTCAACCCGGCGCTGGTTCCTGACACCACGGTGATCGTCTTACCTAGAACGATCGACCGTTTCCGAAACATCATATCGTCCCGAAACATCAGATCGGTCTGGGTCGCCAGCGGCGTTTGACGTTGAACATTGACGGCGGGGTCGCCGCCAGTCGACACGACGCGAACCTGCCGCAGACAACCGAACAAGGGCACCAGCAGAAGCCCAACATTTGTACAATCCGGCGGATCATCGGCAACTGTGGCTGCCCTTGTGGCCACAAGAGGCTCGGCTTGGCCGTGCCTGCAACCACTGGCACAGCACTGAGCGCAAATCTCCGATGTCGCGACTTTTTCACGATCGCCTGAAGTCGACACAAGCAGGAGGACGCCAACCGTGCGCCTACACCAATCCTCGCGGGTGGGAAACATGTCTACATCCACGGCCTCGCAGACCAGGCCCCTGGGCCGCGACCCTCCAGATACTCTTTTTTGTTGCAGATGCCCCGCGCGGCAGATGCCAGACCGCGAGGGCGTGGGTATTCGGAGCAGGGCGAGTGGAGACAACGGCAGCTCAAAATTCGGTCCCCGGACCCCTCATGGAGTCCACACGCGCAAATTTTCCGAGCTGCGTCCAGCCATGGCACCGAGGGCCCCCCCCCGAAGGCCAACTGCCGTTGCCTCAACTCGCCTCCCTCTAAGCGTGCCCGGCCGCGAGGGCGTGGATATGGGCTCGCCGCCAGTGGGATCCTGGCCGGGCTCATCCTGGGCCACAGATGATGGGCAGATTCTCCACCACCACCACCACCGTAGGTAGGAGAGGGGGGAGGAGGAGGAGGAGGAGGAGGAGGAGGAGGAGGAGGAGGAGGAGGAGGAGGAGGAGGAGGAGGAGGAGGAGGAGGAGGACCTCCCCATCCTCCCTTCTCCCCCGTCCTCATAACCTATGGTAGCGGCCGTGGAACCTTGGCCCATCAACGAGGGCCCGGCCAGCATCGCCGGCAGGGCCCAGAGCCGGCGCCCTCCGAGGGGCGGGGGGTCGGCCAGCCGACCGCGGCGTCTCGCGCAGCTCGCGGCACTGCTCCAGCACCGCCGCCTCCCGGCGGAAGGCCTCCAGCGACCGCTGGAGCTCGGCCTTGAGGACCTTCTCCACGAAGTCCTCGGAGCGGGGGGGGGGGGCGATGGCCGAGGGCCGAGGGCCGTCGCTCGGACGTCCACTTCCCTTGCTTTTTTCTGTTTCGTGCGAGTTTTTTTTATTTTGTTGTTTTGTTTTGTTTGTTTTTTTGTTGTTTTTTGTTTTTTTTGGCTCGATGGTCCAGGAGGATCCTCGCTGGTCCTCGCCGAGACAAAAATGCACACGCCCGAGCGATGCCATGGGGGCCGGGCCGTGGCGCGCCGAAAGGGCCGACGCGGGCGGAGCCGGTGGCAGGACGGGAGGGCGCCGACTGCACACCCACAGCGGACACGTGCGACGAGCACTCCTCCTCCTCCTCCTCCTCCTCCTCCTCCTCCTCCTCCTCCTCGATGCTCCTCCTCCTCCTCCTCCTCCTCCTCCTCGATGCTCCTCCTCCTCCTCCTCCTCCTCCTCCTCCTCCTCGATGCCTCCTCCTCCTCCTCCTCCTCCTCCTCCTCCTCCTCTCCTCCTCCTCCTCCTCCTCCTCCTCGATGCTCTCCTCCTCGCTCCTCCCTCCTCCTCCTCCTCCTCCTCCTCCTCCTCGATGCTCCTCCCTCCTCCTCCTCATCCTCCTCCTCCTCCTCCTCCCTCCTCCTCCCTCCTCCTCCTCCTCGATGCTCCTCCTCGATGCTCCTCCTCCTCCTCCTCCTCCTCCTCTTCCTCCTCCTCCTCTTCTCCAGAGCGTTCCGGAGCGCTCTCAGAGCGTTCCGGAACGCTCTGGAGCGGCCGCGGCGCCCAATACGTCCTCCAAACCCGCCGATTCTCAGAGATTTCGAGTTATCCCGATCCGACTTTGTCCCGATCCTCGCGTCGTTTTAGACGAGCACCCCTGCCATCAGACATGTCGAGGAGCCTTCAATCGTCGATCGCGGGAGGTCCGAGCGTGCCCAAGGAAAAACTCCTGTGGGCCTCTGGAGCCACGGAAGAGGGGACGGCGCGTCCGTGGGGCGCCTGCTGGCGGGCCGGTCTCTTCTTTGGTGCGCCTGCCATACATACAGGGCGGTTTTTGATACACAGGAGTTGTAAATACACCGGATGTTTAATCCATGCTTAATAGATGGATAAACTTATGCGTGAACTCATCGTTGTTTTTGATACCAAATCCCTGCATTGTTCAATACATGCTCCGCACGCGGAGCACGTATGAAAAACGGCCCTGTACACTGGTCCTGGCCATGCCCATCCTGGGCCCAGGGCCAGCCCGGCCAGGGCCGACGCTGCTGCCTCGCCTCGCTTCCCGCGCACCGCTCCGGGCGACCTCCGCTTCGCGCACCCCCTCGGCGGGAAGCTGCGGCCGCCCTTCGCGCGCTCGCGCGGCCCCCGTGGGCGAGATGCGCCTCTCCCGCCGAGGCCGCGGAGCGCGGTCGCGAAAGAACTGCCGCCGCGCCCCCGCTGGCGGCCTGGAGGGCCGTGGGAAAGTTTGCAGGCCACGACAGCGTCAACAAGGCGTTCGGGCCGACGCTCGCCGATCGCGGGAGGTGGAATGGATCGAGAGCGCAAGAGGGAGGTGCACGTACAGGAATCCACGCTGGTTTCGAACTGCGCGAACGTGCTGGGAGGAGGTGAGCAGTACAGATCCAGCTCTCCTGGCCCTCCTCCTCCCCCCCTCGTCCTCCAGAAAAGACGAGGAAGGAGGGGGGAAGAGGAGGGCCAAGAGAGCTGGATCTGTACTGGTTTCCTCCTCCCACGTTCGTAACTCGAGGCTGGCCTCCAGGACTGGGGGGGCACATTCATGTCACGCACGTGGCTGGGCGCGTGCTTCCTGTGTGGGCTCCCGACTGGAGGCTGGCGGCATCTGCCGTTGCCCTTCGCCCACCAAATCGATACACTCCCAGGCCACGCTGACGCTGTGGCCTGGAAGGCACGGGTGGCTGAGTGGAAAGGAGGCGCGGGGTGAAGGAGGCAGGAAAGGAGGGATGGAGGCACGGAGTGGGCACGACAGGGAGGCAAGGGGTCCGAGGAGCGTGCCCAGAGGACGCTCAAAGCGGACATTCGGGCCGGGCGAAAGGGGGGGATAGCAAAGGGGGGGGTTCGAGAATCAGCTCACGTGGCTGCTTCTCCCGGCGCCTCCCGGCGCCGGAGGCGGCAATGTATCGCGGCAGGGGCCCCTCGGTGGGGCCGAAACCAGCTGCATGCAGCAAATTCCGTAACCTTCCTTTCCAATCCCCCCCTTTCTAGGGGGAAAACAAATCTACCTCGCTTTTGACCACCCTCGCTTCCAAGAGATACCAAACGATGCCAAACTACGGCCTGTACGGGTCAGGCCGCTTGACGAGGAGGCGCGTGGTATGACTTGGTTTTGCCTGGAAGCGAAAGCGGGGTAGGTAATTCACGCTCTGACTTTCGTCCAGCCCGAGACATCGGGACCGAGGAGCACCCGGCTGCGGCGCGGAGGGTCCCAGCAGAGCCGCCGGGCGCGGCCGAGCCGCCGCAGCCCAGAGCGTCCGCCCTCCCGGGTGGAACGGAACGGGAGCAGTTAGGGGGCCACATGCGAACCCTACCCCTACCCCCCACGATTTCTGAGGGGGAGGGTGGGGTTCACTTCGTTCGGGAGCTCCCGAGAGAAGTGAACCCCACCCTCCCCCTCAGAAATCGTGGGGGGTAGGGGTAGGGTTCGCATTTGGCCCCCTACCAGGGCCCAGGAGGAATCAGAGCCCGCGCCGATGCGGGTCGCTGCCCTCCGCGGAAGCAGCAGGCCGCCCGGCGGGCCTGCGCCCTGTCGCAGGGGGGGGGATTCCTCGTGGAAGCTTTGCCCGAGGAGGGCGCAGAGCACGCTGCCGCAAGAGATGGTCTGGGCAATGTCCTAGCCGGTCTCTTCCGTAGCGCAGGGGTCGGTCACAAGGCACGGTCCGAAAACGCTTCCACACATGAGGTCTGAACCGGGAGCCTGAATCTGAGGCCCTGTGCCTCTCAGACGCTTTTCCAAGCCTGTGCGCGCAAGATGCTGCGCGCTCGTGCAGCCAGGGCGCTCGACAAAGGATAATGACCGGATAGCGGCAACGACCCTTTCGCGGCAGAAGCCCCGCCGAGCAACAACTCGACCGCCCGGGGAGGAGGACTACGATTCGGGAGAGCTCGGAGGAGGAGGAGGAGGAGGAGGAGGGGGAGGGGGAGGAGGAGGAGGAGGAGGAGGAGGAGGAGGAGGAGGAGGAGGAGGAGGAGGAGGAGGAGGAGAACTCGGACCTGCTGGGAAGAGCTCGGGAGGATCGTCCTGCACACCTTTTCGGTGCTGCGCTGGCGCGGTGGCGAGGCTGGCCGAAGGCCTCACGTGCGGGCCATAGATATGTCCACATCCGGTGAGTCGTGGAGTTTTGGGCTCTCTTCCCCAGAAACTGGAGGCGCACTGGATATGGATGAACATCTGGCCCCCAAAGGCTCGATTGTTATCCATATCCAGTGCGACTCGGCCTTGCGGCACCCCTTCCCAAACAGTGCAAGACGCCCTGGATATGGATACAAGTATTGCCCGCATCACGATCGGTGAGATTCATCGGGCGCGTCCGAGCCCAGTCTGTCCGAGGTTTTCCAAGCCGTGCCCTGGAAGGCAGCCTGACAAGCACTGAAGCGCAACGGAGGCTGGCGGGGGGACGGGCCCGAGAGCTGCCCGCAGGAAACTGTGAGTCTGCTCCTGCTTCGAGAGATGGTAAATCACCCCACGGACGGCCAACCAACACACGATGTTCAGCTCAGTGCAACGTACATGCTACAACCACGACCAAAACTGCGCCTGCCACTTAGTCATCAAGATCTGCACACAAACAAAGGATGGCTTAAGAAAATCACGTGGCCGTCAACGACAGATCCTCGTACTCCGCAATCTTCGCAGTGACGACAGCCGCCAGAGCCTCCACACTCAGCCCGCCCCGACTGAATGATGTACGTGCATGACCAACTCTTCAAAAGAAATGCAGAATACTCAGTATGCACATATGCTTTTAAAGAAGAACAGGAGACACAATCAGTGGACCTATCGAGCGAGAACAATCGACAGCAGTGAGCTGATCACGCCAGAGGGCGCAAAAACACATGGATAGAACACATGTCAATGACAACGCCAACGTGCTTACATCTATGACTCTGCCTAGAAGAAAGCGAACACGTAGGACTTCTTTGAGTCAAGGTTGGTCCCGCGCAATGTCATTCGAAGGGTGACCTAGGTTGGGCAACGCCCCCCCAAAAAGAACCCCCAATAAACACTTCGTGATGCGAAATCCGTCCATGATGGAACCGTGCTGCTCCGAATGGGATTGCGCGCTTGTTTGAAGGTACCACATAGAGAAACAACGATTCGCTTGTGCTAGATTGCTGCGACTGGCATGAACGTGTGCGGAAGAGGCGCGTGACTTTCTTTCAATGGCGTCGTCACAAGGGACGCGCAATCAATGAACAGCAAACATCGAAGCGAAGAACATCTGCCTCCGAATTGTCGTCATCATTATCCATGCTCTAGCCGCGAAGACCGATCAGGCCAAAAAGGCCTAACTCCTAGCTTGAGCCAGAAGGGCCACATTGAAGCTGCAGCATCTGCAGTGCAGTCTGCGTTGCCAAAAGCTGTGTCACCCCTGTATGTTGCACAGGACGCCTGGTGCCAAGGGCACATTCAGAAACAGCCGTCAATACAAACACGCGGGTGCCAGACAATGAACGTATGCGTCGGTGACCCCCTTGGTGCAAAGCAAACACGTGTGCAGTTGTCCCAATTGCCAATTCGAGCGCTCAATGCATAAGTCAAATCGGCTGGCTAAGACACCAAAGGTCAACAAGGTACTGCGGCGTCGAACCATAGATCGAGTCCCGCATCGAGACGTGGTGATCTTCATTGACAAATTTCCAACACATGGGTCGGACACACGACGAAGTGTGCCTGCGCAGACGACTCCCGAAATTCCTGAACGCTTTCCATTGGCGTAGCTCTAACATCCAAGAATCGGTAACGGAAACCAGTCAATCAACTACCACGGCACGCAGTATCGTTGTTCACCGATCGAAAACGCTGTCCAGCCCATAGAAAACCCATGTTCAGCATGAAAGAGCCCGCGCGTGAAACCACGTCCAGGGAATCCCCAGTGGAAGCAGTAGTTAGCCAGACTCTGCGACGGGCGCGTTTGCAAAAGGGATGCCAGGCATCTGCAAGGTGCGCCATCCCACTCACAGAGGGGGGGGGATGGGGGACAGACGAAGAAGAAGAGGAAGCGCACGTGACTTCTCCCGCCGTAGGCCCCTTTTGTCCCCCATCTTGCCTTCGCTCGGACGTCCATTCCCTGTGCGTTTTCCGGTTTTGTGCGTGTTCTTCTTGCTCGATGATCCAGGATGCTCTTCGATGGTCCTCGCCAAGAAACAATGCACACGTCCGGGCGATGCCAAGCCATTGGCTTGCGGCGGTCTTCGACAATCTTCTGCGCGCGGGCTTGACAGTCGTGCGCGAGAAGGGCTTCAGGAGCAAGCAGCGATGACACATCGACTGTCAAGAAGTGCCCAGTCCGCTCCGACAGGGGGTGTCCAAAGACTAACAAATAGACCCATTCCCTGGGAAAAACGTAAATTTTCTGCATATTCGTTTCTTGGGCCTTCACAATGTCCAAGACGGCTCGCTGTCACCCCCCCCGGATCGGCGGCACTGGCCGGAGGCCAGCCCAATATCAACTATCAAGAAATGCCCGGTCCACTCCGACAAGGGGTGCTGGGAGGACGATCGGAAGAACATGTTACGTGTCTAGCCCCTCGGCTGGCGAAATTCATATTGCGGGCTCCGTCTTGGACAGGGTCTCGATCCCCGAAGGTCCGTGAGAAGTCTTCAGGTTCAACCCAAACATTCCATACATGTGGTATGCGCTAGTCGGAAAATTCATAGACCCGCGTGAACATCCTCAACTTGACCAGAATATTTTTGGGAGGTGAAACCAAACGACCGACTACATCAGATGTACGTGAATTCCATGTGCATTGCAGCGGAATCCGATACAGAGCACACTGTGAGGACATCTCGAGCGGGGGCCGTATTCCTGAGCACAGCTTGTTTGAACGTTCCCTCGGCGAGAACCGCCCTTCCGAGAATAACCGAAGGAGGACTCGAGCGAGAACCAATGCCCTTTCGCCCTTGTACATGAGGAGTTCCCCGGAGGAATCACATCCCTGTTTATCGAAAGAGGGCGAACAAAATAATACTAAGAAAATGTGAATACGGTTCGCGAATGCATTGTGAAACCGCCTCGAACGGATCCACCGCCGATCCAAGAAATCCGCGCGGAGCTGCAACATTTTCGGCTTATCGGAATGGAGGGGCCGAACAACCATTCACTGTCCCTAGGCGCGTGGCTAAAGCGGGGCTCCGCGGTGCGGATTGCTGTTGCATTGCTGAGCTCTGATGTCTGCAGTAAATCGGCGGTGGACAAAACTCCCTTTAGAAAACCTCCCTTTAAAGAAAACAGCCTGGGACTGACACCGACGGACCTGGACCCGCAAAAATGACGGCCGCGACGCCCTCCTGCGAACCGAAAACGGCCAATTCGCTAATCGACGTGTCAGGGCAGGAGGTCTGTCCACCCCCGAGTATAGCTACTGTTGGTCCCCCCTCCGGTGCACCTTGTACTTGTCCAATTGAAGTGCCCATGCTGGGGTTCGCAGCCCGTCTTTGATCAGGGAAAATCTTGGGCCTCGGGCTGGGCCCCTGACACCGAACAACAAAAACAACAACAATTAATTTGTGGATGCCACGGCAATGGACACCCAAATAGCCCTATCATTGAACTAAAATTGTGTTTGAAATGTAGGACAAACGTTCTAAACATATTTGTAAACATGTTTTTTCCCAACCATCCTGTGGTGTTGGGTCCTCGTTTTGCTCCTCTCCTCCTCCTCCCCTCCCTCCTCCTTCTTCCATGCGTTTCACCCACCCAGCACAGCGCTTCGTGGCCCCATAGGGAGCTCCACCGAAGCCCCCAATGGGACCGCCCGCGTGCGTCCGCCACCCAGCACAGCCCTTGCTCCGTGCGTTTGACCAACCCAGTACAGCGCTTCGTGGCCCCATACGGAACTCCACGGAAGGTCCCAGTGGCACCGCCCGCGTGCGTCCGCCACCACCCAACACGGCCCTTGCTCCCTGCGCTTCGCCCACCCAGTACAGCGTTTCGTGGCCCCATAGGGGGCCCCACCGAAGCTCCCGCTGGCACCGCCCGCATGCGTCCGCCACCACCCAACACGGCCGTTGCTCCCTGCGTCTCACCCACCCAGTACAACGCTTCGTGGCCCCATCGGGAGCTCCTCCGAAGGTCCCAATGGCACCGCCCGCATGCGTCCGCCACCGCCCAGCACGGCCTTTGCTCCGTGCGTTTCACCATCCCAGTGCAGCGCTTCGTGGCCCCATGGGGGGCCCCACCGAAAGTCCCAGAAGCACCGCCAGCATGCGTCCGCCACCACCCAACACGGCCCTTGCCCCCTGCGTTTCACCCACCCAGTACAACGTTTCGTGGCCCCATAAGGAGCTCCACCGAAGGTCCCACTGGCACCGCCCGCATGCGTCCGCCACCGCCCAGCACGGCCTTTGCTCCGTGCGTTTCGCTCACCCAGTACAGCGTCTCGTGGCCTCATAAAAAGGGGCTCCACCGAATGTCCCAGTGGCACCGCCGGCATGCGTCCGCAACCACCAAGCACAGCCTTTGCTCCGTGCGTATCACCCACCCAAAACAGCGCTTCGTGGCCCCATAGGGAACTCCACCGAAGGTCCCACTGGCACCGCATGCATGCGTCCGCTACCACCCAACACGGCCCTTGCTCCCTGCGTTTCACCCACCCAGTACAGCGCTTCGTGGCCCCATTAAAAAGGGCCACGCCGAAGGTCCCAGAAGCACCGCCCGCATGCGTCCGCCACCACCCAACACGGCCCTTGCTCCGTGCGTTTCACCCACCCAGTACAACGTTTCGTGGCCCCATAGGGCGCTCCTCCGAAGGTCCGCCCAGCACGACCTCTGCTCCGTGCGTTTCATCCAGCCAATACAGCGCTTCGTGGCCCCATGAAGGGGCCCCACCGAAAGTCCCAATGGGACCGCCCGCGTGCGTCCGCCACCACCCAGCACAGCCCTTGCTCCCTGCGTCTCACCCACCCAAAACAGCGCTTCGTGGCCCCATAGGGAACTCCACGGAAAGTCCCACTGGCACCGCCCGCGTGCGTCCGCCACCACCCAACACGGCCCTTGCTCCCTGCGTTTCACCCACCCAGTACAACGCTTCGTGGCCCCATAAGGGGCCCCACCGAAGGTCCCAGAAGCACCGCCAGCATGCGTCCGCCACCACCCAACACGGCCGTTGTTCCCTGCGTCTCACCCACCCAGTACAACGCTTCGTGGCCCCATCGGGAGCTCCTCCGAATGTCCCAATGGCACCGCCCGCATGCGTCCGCCACCGCCCAGCACTGCCTTTTGCTCCGTGCGTTTCACCATCCCAATGCAACGCTTCGTGGCCCCATGGGGGGCCCCACCAAAGGTCCCAGAAACACCGCCAGCATGCGTCCGCCACCACCCAACACGGCCCTTGCTCCCTGCGTTTCGCCCACCCAGTACATTCGCCCACCCAGTAGAACGCGTCGTGGCCCCATAAAGGGGGCCCCTCCGAAGGTCCCAGAAGCACAGCTCGCATGCGTCCGCCACCGCCTAGCACGGCCTGTGCCCCGTGCGTTTCACCCACCGACGGTCCCAATGGCACCGCCCGCATGCGTCCGCCACCACCCAACACGGCCCTTGCTCCCTGCGTTTCACCCACCCAATACAAAGCTTCGTGGCCCCATCGGGAGCTCCACCCAAAGTATCGCTGGCACCGCCCGCATGCGTCCGCCACCGCCCAGCACGGCCTTTGCTCCGTGCGCTTCACCAACCCAGTACAACGCTTCGTGGCCCCATAGGGAGCTCGTCCGAAGGTCCCACTGGCACCGCCCGCATGCGTCCGTCACCGCCCAGCAGGGCCTTTGTTCCGTGCGTTTCACCCACCCAATACAAAGTTTCGTGGCCCCATACAGGGGCTCCACCGAAGGTCCCAGAAGCACCGCCCGCATGCGTCCGCCACCATCCAGCACAGCCATTGCTCACTGCGTTTCGCCCACCCAGTGCAGCGCTTCGTGGCCCCATAGGGAGCTCCACCGAAGGTCCCAATGGTACCGCCCGCATGCGTCCCCCACCACCCAGCACAGCCCTTGCCCCGTGCGTTTCACCCACCCAGTACAGCGTTTCGTGGCCCCATAATGGGGGCTCCACCGAATATCCGAGTGACACCACCCGCATGCGTCCGCCACCACCCAACACTGCTCTTGCCCCCTGCGTTTCGCCCACCCAGTACGGCGCTTCGTGGCCCCATAACGGGGGCTCCACCGAATGTCCCAGTAGCACCGCCCGCATGCGTCCGCCACCACCCAGCACGGCCCTTGCTCCCTGCGTTTCGGCCACCCAGTGCAGCGCTTCGTGGCCCCATAGGGAACGCTACCGAAGAAGATATCCACACTTGCGGTACTCACAACTGCATATGGTTGGGTCTTTCGCCAGGCTAATGTCTTCACATGTCTTAAACATGTCTAGCACATGGTTTAGACATATCGAGACTATTTGGCAACACGCTTCCTCTCCATTGATCGCCCCCACCAAACAATCAGTTTACCCTCATTCGCGATGTTTCCACACGAAGCATGCGACCATCATGATAACCATCCCCTATCATGGGGGACTATTGTTTTATAGCGGGGTCCGTTGTTCCCATTCCCACATATCCCGCCCAATG